TTTTTTTTTTTTTTCGTTCTGTGTTGCTTTTGCTAAAATTCTTCTTGTTGTTGTTGGTGGCAGTGGTGGTGTTTGAATTTAAGTATTGGTAGGAGCGGAAAAAAGAAAACAGGGAGAGAGAGAGAGTGGCTTTGTTGTGTATGTGTAAAAGAAGGTAATATATTTCCTTCTACGTTTAACAGTAGAGATGAGGAGAGGAATAAATAAATAAATAAATAAAAAATACACTCTAATTGGATATTGGTTCAAATAGAAAAAAGCAGTCTAATCCTTTTCCCCCCTTCTCGTTCTCTCTTTTTTTTTTTTTCTTTTTGTTTCTTTTCTTTTCCTGTATTCACCAATTAGAAGTGAAAGGGGCAACGAAAGGAAAGGAGAAAAGAGAGTAGCTAAATGGGAGATCAGTGGGTGGCAGCATCCATTCTCCATCCCGGGCCCCCAACAACATCCATCAGTAGTAATGGAAACAACATTAGCGGCAACACAACAACAACAACAACAGGATTAAAACGTCCACGCGATTCCTATTTGTACGATCGTGATGGAAAACGATTGAAGGGAATGAAAGGAGAAGCCGCACGGCTTATGCACGATCATCGCATCTTCAGTAGTGAAGAGGAACTTCATCATTTGGAACAGGCGTTAGCGGCAGGGCAGCGAACAGCAACGGCAGCGGCGGCTGATGGTGGTAGCGGTGGTGGAAGTAAAGCACATGGATTGCCTGCACTTCCCGATATGTTTGGAGTAGTTGTTTCCACAGCGGTGGGAGGAACCACAATGGATACTGTGAATGGTGAGAATGTGAATAATGGGGCTTTAGTGCCACCCATGCATCGCTGGTCACTTGTGCAGAATCGGCAAGTTACAGTAAAGCCGTTTTCAAATACTATAGAGAAGTGTGAGGTGTCTAATCCGTTAGTGAAGATGGAGATGCCGTCTTTGCGGATTAGTGGATGTGGGAATCGTTGGGTACGAGCAGATGCACAACATGTGGAGAATGCCCTAACATCTCTTCTTTCATCACAACCAACACAACAAGAAGGGAAAGAAGAACACAAAGAAGAACACAAAGAAAAACAATCAACAGCTGAAGTAAATGTGGAAGAGGGTTGTGGTGATGGGGTAGAGAGAAGTTATACCGAAGAATGCAGGAGAAAGGATCTCCCCGCTTCGTGGATTACATATGCCTTGTCAGCCCCTGCAGAGGCTGGACTCTCTGTATTAAACGCACCCGTCACCGCATCTCCCTTTGCCTTCTTCACTCTAACGGAAGAAGAATACACCACTTTGGGTTTGGATGCGGATATTTATCAACCCGTATTTGTCTCTCATGCGAAACATAACTCGAATGCTAAGATGATGATGTTACCCTGGCGTTTTGACTTTACATCTACATGTAAACTTATTACCTTGTATGAACGTTTTGGTAACTTTGCGGTGGTTGCAGATCGTTGGAAGTATGCTGATAGTAATGGTGTAGCCCCTGCGAGAGATCTGCAGAAAACAACAACAACAACAACAACAACAACAACAGTAACTCCACCTGTGGAAGTGATGATGGAACGCTATAGACTCGTAACAGAGGCGGTTCTTCGTAATAGACTTCATTTATTACAAGGACTTCTTGAGGGAGATACTGTAGGAGTTGAGGCCACTCTTTCTCATGATAGCACCTCCGCTAGTCAGACAAGCGGCGTAAAGAAAAAGCAGATGGAAGAACGGGTAGTGACATCAACGCACCCATTGTGTTCTTTATTGGAGAAACATCCCATTCTCGCCGCACAGCGAAAACGGCAGGAATGGCTTACGCAGAGGCAACAGAAACTAAACCAGAATGATGATAGTCAACTCACACCTATTACAAATGAGACTAACGAAGATGTGGTACTTACTCGACATAGAGTAGATATCCTACAACAATGGGGAGAAACAGCACTTTCTCTAGCTTGTTCTTCTTATTCACCATCATCATGTAATGCTACTGGTGTTGATGATGGTGTTGATGGTGTTTCCTCTTCTTCCTTATTAGTGCAAACCGATAACAATTCTGAAAAGGGAAAAGTGGATGTTGGTGATGCTGATGCATCAATGTTGATATCTCGTCCTCCACTCCCTTCTGCATCTCCATTCTGGTATGATACTATACTAGAGCAGGTACGACGAGAGCAACTTCATGAGTATCTCATCAGTGAAGCCAAGATGAATGTACCATACTTTAATGCGGTAGTGGCACTTCGTCGTGTGGATAAACAGGCAACATTGTTGTTAGACAAACTAAAGGCGTTAACACATGATGGACGAACTTCACAGGGAGAAGTGGATCCTTCACAAGCTGGGGATATGGAAGGTAAAAAAGTTATGCAAGGCAAAAGACGAATTGGGGTTAAAAATCGTAAACAACAAAATACAGCAGATGCTATGGCGGAAGTTAGTTATCAAGCTGTAAAAGATGAAGTTCAATGTATACCATTTCACTGTGAACGACTCAAGTTATCTGTACAGGCAGGATGGTTTTTACCCCCTCCAGTTGGTAGTACAAATGGTAAAAAGTCTAGTGGAAGTGGTGGAGGTGGCGCTAATAGTAACAGTTCCGCTATTGTTAATCGAGCTTTAAGTAATTTTTCAGAAGCTCTCTTGTTAACATTACCGCCAAGTGTACCTCGACTTCATCTTGGGGTGGAACATGAACTGGAGAAGCACCTGTGGGAGGACCACAGAGCACTTAGTGATGATAATGCAGAAGTGCAACAACTGCTTAGTGAGGCCCGTGTACTTTATACACAGAATGTGATTCTACGCCGCTTTGCAGGAAGATGTGGAGTGTTGGAGGCATCGCTGAAGAAGTTGGCGAGTGAGGCTGCCGCAGTGGAACTATAAAGGAAAAGGAAAAAAAAAAAAAAGAAGGGGATGGGGAAAGAAGAAGAAGAAGAAACAAAAGGAAAAAAGAGAAAAATAAAGACCAGTATAGTCTTTTTTGTTTCATTTTTCTTTTTTTTTTTTTTTTTTTTTTTTTTTTTTTTTTTTTTTTTTTTTT